TATATATATATATATATATATATATATATATATATATATATATATATATATATGACGATTTATACATTTTGTTTGGATATAGGCGTAAAATAATCGCAGGAAATAAATAAATGTTCAGGCAAAATGAGACACATATTAAATAAACGCATTAAAGGTAGCCATGCAGTTTAACAAGAGAACACGTGTAGCAACATACACACACGCGTACATCATATACGCGTACCTTATAGAGGTTAAACTATTATGATAATAATTTATATACCAAAATTATTATAATTTTACCTTCACTCCAGCCAAACTTCAGCAATTGATTTTTCGCGAAGTCAGACATTCGTACAATAAATTAACTCTTGCCAGCATTTACAAAATCTAACGAAGTACGCTGCGTACCCAACAAGCTACGTTAACGCACGTCGAGAGATGTTGATGCTACGAACCAGTGATGCAATATAGGATACGCTGTATAGTGAGTCATGTTAAGGGACGTGGCACACAGAAAAACTTAAGCAGTAAGCAAATTGACCAATCACAGTCGTTGATTCTTGGACCGTAAGAAGAATCAATGACTGTGATTGGTCAATTTGCTTACTGCTTACGTTTTACTGTTAAGTTTTTCTATGTGCCATCAGCTTTAAGGTCTATAGGAAGTCATAGTAGAGACATCTGGCGGAGAACCCGAAACCAATGGCTCCTGCACACAGGACGCGATAATGCTTGCTGCGCGGCGAAAGTCCGCGGGACAGCCAATCAATATGTTGTTTTTCCGTAAGAGCTAATTATTACGGAAAGCAGCATATTGATTGGCTGTCGCGCGAACTTCCGCCACGCGGCAAACATTACCGCGTCCTGTGTGCAGGAGCCATAACGTTGGTATTTGGCCAAATTTTGAGCAAAGAAAATCGTAATATGTGGTCTGTTCTTTTCAGCTGCACTACTGAACTGGTGCAATAAGTTAAAGTGAGAAAAAATATACTTGTCTCACTTTAGCTTATTGTACCAGTTCAGCAGTGCAGCTGAAAAGACAGACCAATGAATAGCTTGGTTTACATCGTGCACTTGATACGTGTACTAAATAGTAACTTTCTATAAGATAATCTTAATATCGACGATATATATAAATAACGGTATATTAAGTTGGTATAATACTCATCAACAAAACGAATTGTATTGATAGAATGCGTCTCTGTTGATATGCATTGTCGATATTAAGATTATCTGATAGAAAGTTACTATTTAATACGCGTATCAAGTGCATGATATAAACCAGGCCATTGTGATATTTTTATGGCTTCTGCACACAGGACGCGGTAATGCTTGCCGCGCGGCGGAAGTTCGCGCGACAGCCAATCAATATGTTGTTTTTTCGTAAGAGCTAGAAGGTTATTACAGAAACCAGCATATTGATTGGCTGTCACACGAATTTCTGCCACGCAGCAAGGATTACCGCGTTCTGTGTGCAGGAGCTAATAATCAGGAAAATAATCCCAAGGGTGCGACAGAGCGTTTTTTGGAAAAAAAATGTCGAAAAAAATGATCTAAATTATTGTGAGTAAACATTATATTGAGGTGCAGTACGAGTCTATATTTTAATTAATTAAAATTTTTTAAGAGCCTAACGCCAAAATCGGGTTCTGTAGCACCTTTAGTACTAACATAAGAAAGATATAAAAAATAGTTTGATGAGTAAATGTAATATATAAGAGATAAACTTTGGTGAGCGCAGATATTACATAGAAAGTGTAGTATAATACATTTTAGTTCAAGTAGCTCGACCCAACCTTCCTGCTCTTGCGTCCGCGTGAACAATACGCTTAGGGGGG